TCTCGAGCTCATAATCTAATAAGTTAATTAGTTCTGATTTTACACTTTCGTTTCGATCGCGCGAGGGGATATCTGAATCATTTTCGTAAAGTGACACATAATTTTGTGATTGTCTCAAACTTTACTAAATTCCACACATGAAACTTATTTGCATATAGATAACGCAAGAAAGGCTTGCGTTACACCTTGTCCAAATTTGGTAACTGAGTCACAAAAGCATGCAAAATCACGTGATTTCTAGGAAAAAAGAGTCACATTTGGAGTGTTGTTTTGCGAAGAAACTCTTTACGTGCTGGTGGATTTTTTTTTGTCAAGGCTTTGACAAGAAAGGATGAGAAAGATTTACAACTTACAACTTTACAACTTTACAACTGAAATACTTAATTTCAACGAGAATTAAAAACAGCCACTACGGGTCTATAAATCTCTTAATAGTCTCGCCCCTGATTATCTGAAATCAATGTTAACTGATCGGAGCGCAACATCCACCCATTCTCTTAGGAATTTTGAGGGCAAACTAACTATTGCACTACCCCGCACCAATTTTCTAAAAAACAGTTTCAGCTATAGTGGTGCGGTGTTGTGGAACAGCTTACCAACAAATCTGCGGCAAGCACAAACTCTTGCTAGTTTTAAATCTGGCTGCAGGGTTTCCGTTTTGATAATGAATAAGTTAATTAATCACACGCCATTCATGGAAAGCAGGCACTTTGTTATTGTTTTTTGTTTGTTTGTTTGTTTGTTTCTATTGCTAAACACATAATTACTTACATTGCCTTACTCTTCTTACAACACGACACAATACTTAACCTACTTACAATACACCACATTATTGTTATCATCATCATCATCATTATTATTATTATTACTATTATTATTATTATTATTTCTAATGCTTTTACTGTCTTACAAACGTCACTTACAATACATCAAAAAAAAAAGGAAAAGAAAAAAAACCTATTTATAATACTTGGCATTAACTTAGGCCCAGTTCAGACGCCGAACTTTTCATGAGCCGAACTTAATTCGAATTTGGACCGACCCAAAT